GAAGATACTGCAGTCAGACCTTGCTTTTTAATCCAGTCTGACAATCTTTGCCTTTTAATTGGACTTCTTAGACCACTAATGTCCAAAGGAAATATTCTGCAAGTCATGTAATTTTAAATATTCTATTAACCACGTCAAAAAATGAGGAGTGAAATTAATTTTAAGAATAGATTTTAGATCAATGTATCTGAAATATTACCATATCAACATATAGTCAATATTTTAAAAAATGAAATATTTTACATTATTACTTTTGATACTATGTTTTTGAAACACAAAGGCATACATCTCCACACATACATCTCCATTAGGAACAGCACAGTTCATGGCCTCATACAGCTAGTGGTTACTACAGCAGATTAAAGGGTTTTTTGGGTTTTTGTTTTTTGTTTTTTTTTTTGCTAACTTACATTTACACATTTATGTTTAACATCTGTTTATTTTCTTATTGCCTGGTGTTTTCGTGGTGTTCTTCTCTTGCACTGCACTAACAGAATATTTGATAATATTCCATTTTAATTCCTCCATGGGCTTTTTCCTTTTAAACAGCCTTTCTGAGGTATTATTCACATGCAATAAGCTGCATACATTTAAAGTATACAATTTGACAAGTTCTGACATATGCAAACATCCATGAAATCTTCACCCTAAGAGAGTATATATATCATTCACCCCTAAATTTCCTTGTACCCTTTGCAACCCATCCCCCTGGCTCCTCCCCACCCCCAAATCCAATCTGCTTCAGTTTGTATCTTCTTGGGTTTTATATAAATGAATTCATACAGAATGTACTCCCCCTCCCCCGCCGATTTCTTTTACACAGTAGCATTATTTGGGTATTTATCCCTGCTATTACATGCATCAATATCTTATTCCAGGAGTGGCGGCTCAGTACAGCATAAGACTCTTGATGTTGGGGTCATGAATTCAAGCCCCACATTGGGCAGACAGCTTTCATAAAAGAAAAATAGCTTATTCTACATGTCTGAGTAGTATTTCATTGTATCCAAAGGAATACGAGGCCAAAATTGCAATCTATTTATCCATTCATCTGTTGATGGACATGTGGATTGTTTATGGCTTTGCTTATTACAAACAAGCTATTATGAACATTCAACTGAGTTTTTTAGTTTTTGGGGTTTTTTTTAAATGAACATATGCCTTCATTTTTCATGCATAAATGCCTAAGAGATAAACAGCTGACAAACGTCATTTGGTAGTTTAACTTTTTAAGAATCTGCAAGATTATTTTGTCCAAGTAGTTCTTCAAGTTTACATTCTCACCAACATGAGAGTTACAGTTCATCCACATCCTTTCCAACACTTAGTATGGTCAATCTCTTAAATATTAGCCATTATAACAGGTGCGTAATGTTATCTCACTTCAATTTGCATCTAATGATTAATGACATAGAGCATCTTTTTCATGTACTTATCTGCCATATGTTTTTGCTGAACTATCAAGTATTTTTGCCAATTTATTACACTAGGTTGTTTGTTGCCTTAAGTTTTAGCATTTATACAGTCTGAATTTATATATTCTGGATCAAAGTTCCATATGCTCTGTAAAGATATTCTGCTACTCTATGGTTTGTGTTTTCATTCTACTATCAGTATCTGCAAAAGAACTTAGAGTCTAAAAGCTGATGAAATCCCACTTGTTCTTTTATAGTACTTTTGGGGTCCTATCAAAGAAACGTCTGCCTAATCCAAGGTCACAAAATTTTTTTACTATGTTTCTTCTAGGTCCACTCAGAGTTAATTCTTCAATATGGTATGGGATACACATCCAAGTGTGTTTTGGTGTTTTGTTTTTGGTTTTTGCATAGATACCTTAGTCAAAAACCAGTTGTCCATAATTATGTAGGTTTATTTCTGGATTCTATTCTGTTCTATTCATCTATTTATCTTTCTTTATACCACTATGATACTGTTTTGATTACTCAGCTTTATTGTAACTTGAAAACAGGGAATCAGTCCTCCCAACCTTTTCTCTATTCACTTTTAACTGTACTTCTTTGTATGTTTTTTTAATTATTTCAGTATGCAACCTTAATAGAATCTACTTTAAGTTAGAGTTAATATTTTATCACTTCATGTAAATAAAAACCTTACAACTGTAAAATTCTATTTATCTTCACTTAGTGCTGTTGTCATATAAACATCAACACACAGTCTGTGTGTTCACTCACTAATATTTTCCTTTATAGCTTTAAAAATATCTATAATCCTTGTGTGTTAATTCCACTATCTAGGTCATTTTGGTGTCCGCTCCTGTTGAATGCTTCTCTATTAGATGGAATGTTTTCATGCTTCTTTCCATAATTTGTAATTTTTGATGGTACGGGGGATATTATGAATGATAGTTCACAAAAAAAGACTGAGTCATGTCTTCCTTAGGGGGTGTGGTTTTGTTTAGGCAAGAAATTAAATTACTGGTGATCCTTATTGTCTTGTCAGGCCAAACTATCTAGCTTCTTCACTCTTCGGTTTTTTTTTTTTTAATTTTTTTTTCAACGTTTATTTTTATTTTTGGGACAGAGAGAGACAGAGCATGAACGGGGGAGGGGCAGAGAGAGAGGGAGACACAGAATCGGAAACAGGCTCCAGGCTCCGAGCCATCAGCCCAGAGCCTGACACGGGGCTCGAACTCACAGACAGCGAGATCGTGACCTGGCTGAAGTCGGACGCTTTACCGACTGCGCCACCCAGGCGCCCCTCTTCACTCTTCGTTTTAAGGTTGGTGCTTAGTGTAATGGGTGATCCATTCTCTTAAGGACTGGGCTTTCTGTAGTCTAAATTGAATGCCTGAGGTTCTCTCCAAGATGTCTGCATTCTGACTTCCCAGAACTCCCAAGATCTCAGAGCACCACAGAACCTTGGGAATCACCACTTTAGCTCTCAACCCCAGAACAGGTCCATTCTGACAGATCATGCAGAGTTCTCAACCTGTATACAGGCAGCCCAGCTATTATTCAAAATTCTGAATCAGGTGAATCACCATACTGAATTCTGACCCCTGCAAAATGCCCAAACCCCTGGAGAGCTTCCTTTTTCAGGACCCTTCGCAAATCCCAGATGTCTGAGCAGCTTTGAATTCCAGTCTGTCTTTCCAGCTCAGTGAGACCTCCATGCTCTGCTTAGATTCTCCTTTCCTGTGCTACAAGAATAGGGTAAGCCCAAGGCAGAAAGCCAAAGTGATCATGCAACTCCCCTCATGGATTTCCCTTCTCTCAGGGATCTTTATCTGGTACTGTCTGCTCATCAATTCAAGACAATATATTTTATACAGTTTTGTAGTTATTATTATTTTTTTTTGGAGGGCACATGGAAGGAGAAGGAAAGGGTGCTATCAGTTATTCTGTCATAGCCCTACATACTAATTTTTAAAACATTTCAACTATTCATCACTATATGAATTGTTTTAAAAAATCAAAGTGGCAAAGCAGCATTAGACATTTGAACCTATTTGTTCAATTATTTGTACACAGTATTTTGACTGTCAAAATCATGGCCTAGTGATTTTGTTTTGTAATCACGGAAAAGTCAATAATAATGATGTGTGGGCAAATTCATTATCACATCATTATGACTATGTTAAGTACTTCATTATAGTTTTTACTTAACTGAACTGCCAGGCATATGTATGTGTGTGCCAAGGCGCACCTATACATAAGCAATGGCTACCTGAAATAAATCAAAATGCTTCTAGTTTTTTACAATCCTTTTACTACCCAAAACAATTAATTCCTCAAGCAAGTAATTCAGGAAAGGGTTCAGAAAAAAGGAACTTCGGTTTTAGGTAAACAGTGTAAAATGCAGGGGTATAGGCAGAATAATTAATTCATCGTCATTATCATCATTATCCCCATATCAAATTTTGATCCATAAAACAAGAGTCTAAAAATTAGTTTATATTTGTTTAAGACAGACCTTACAAACAACCAACTTTATTTCAGACATATATACAATTTAAGAAAAATACCCTATGAAGATAATATGGAGAAAACATTAAAAAACCCAATTCAAAGAATTAAAATATTGTTATAGCAAAGAAAAAAAGGTTGAAAGCACACAGAAAAGAAAACTATCTAGCTCAATCTTTTGACTTTTATTTAGTTGGGCTTTAGAGCTTGTGGGATAGAGAATACTTCAAATATAGTAATTCCCTTTATCTGCTGTTTCACTTTCTATGGTTTCAGGTACCAGTAGTCAACCATGATCCAGAAGCAGATGATCCTCCTAAAATACTGTCAAAAGGCCAACAGTACCCTAACACTGTATCACAATGCCTATACATCATTCACCTTGCTTCATCTCATCACACAGCCATTTTATAATCTCACACCATCACAGGAAGACAAAGGGTGAGTACAATACAATATTTTGAGAGACAGAGGGAGAGAGTATGCACATTCACATAGCTTTTATTACAGTTTATTGTTATCACTGTCCTATTTTTAGTTTTCGTTAATCTCTTAATGTGCCTAATTTATAAATTAAGCTTTATAGATTTGTATGTACAAGAAAAAACACTGTATATATAGGGTTTTGTACCATCTACAGTTTCAGGCATCCACTGCAAATCTTGGAACACATGCCTAGGGCGGTGGGGGGAACTATTATAAAAAATTTTTCTGTAAGACACTCAAACACAAAAACTAAAAACAAAAGGATAAAAGGGGCAAGAATGAGGGGACTTTTAACATGAAAGGAAAAGGTTATATTTTTGTGATTAAAGAAAGGGCAAAAACACTTACTACTTGTCCACAAAAGTCACCAATTTTAGGTATTTTACTTGACACATATATACTCTAGTAAAACTTCCTCTGTAGTGTTTCAACAGAAACATTTTTTTTTCTCCAACAGGAACATATAAAACATTTAACATAAATTATAAAAGGCTATTCTGGTAAAGCAGACTAAATATTAGTTTTAATATTCTGACCCATAAAATGGCAAATAATTAAATTAAACACTGTTAAGAGAGTAACACTTACCTGTAACCACCATGCTGCTCATATTAGAGTTTGGACTACTGAGAACACTGCCTGAGAGTAGTTCGTCAGATCCTCTCTAGAAAAAACAAACACATTAACATAAGTTATCTTTAAATTTAAAAATATTAATCCATCACTTATCTGTATTTTCCAAGTATTCACACTGAAAAACAAATGTCAGGTGTTACATACACTATTGGCAGTATTTTAAAATATTTTAGAAGTTTAACCACTAAAATAGAAAATTAACTTTCTTGTCAATCTCTCTCTTTTCCACAAAGCCAACAGGGCTTCCTTTCTTCCTTTCACCTAAGTATTGGCTCACTACCAATAATAAAAATGTTTCCAAGCTTTCTTTTTTTTCTTTTAATTTTTAAGAGCAGCTTTAGGTTTGCAAGAAAATTGAGAAGGCAGCCAACAGAGACTTCTATTTACTCCCTTCCCCCATACATACATAGCTTCCCTCATGATCAGCAACTCCCACCACAGTGGTACAGTTTTTACCAAGGATCAACCCGCATGGACACTTCATAATCACTGAAAGTCTGCAGTTTACCGGAGGGTATTGATGTTGTACGTTCAGCAGGTTTGAACAAATGTGTTAGGATGTATTTCTATCATTACAATATCATATAGAGGATTTTCATTGACCTAAGAAATTCTCTGTGCTCTGCTTTATTCATCCTTCCCCAACCCCATCCCTGGTGACCACTTAAGCTTTTACGGTCTCTAGAGTTCTGCCTTTTCCAGGACGTCATATAGTTAGAATCATACAGTATGTAGACTTCTTAGAATGGCTTCTTTCATTTAGTAACATGGATTTAAGGCTCCCCCTTATCTTTTCTTGGCTTGATAGGTCATTTTCTTTTACTTCTGAAAATTATCCCAGTGTCTAGACATACCACAAACACTTTTGGATGCTCCCAAGTTTTGACTATAAGGCTGCTATAAATATCTGTGTGCAGGGTTTTGTGTGTACATTAAGTTTTCAACTCCTCTGGGTAAATACCAATATGCACAATTGCTGGATTTTGTGTTAAGAGTACATTTAGTTTTATAAAACTGCCAAACTGTTTTTCAAAGTGATTATACCATTTTGCATTCCCACTAACAACATATGAAAATTCCTGTTGCTGGGGCGCCTGGGTGGCGCAGTCGGTTGAGTGTCCGACTTCAGCCAAGTCACGATCTCGCGGTCCGTGAGTTCGAGCCCCGCGTCGGGCTCTGGGCTGATGGCTCAGAGCCTGGAACCTGTTTCCGATTCTGTGTCTCCCTCTCTCTCTGCCCCTCCCCCGTTCATGCTCTGTCTCTCTCTGTCCCAAAAATAAATAAACGTTGAAAATTCCTGTTGCTTCACATCCTCGTCAGCATTAAAGATTGTCAGTGCTCCACATTTTGGCAATTCTGATAGGTGTGTATCTTGTTTTAGTTTACATTTCCTCAATGACATATTTTGTGGAATATCTTTTCATATGCTTATTTGCCATCTGTACGTCGTCTTTGGTGAAGTGACTATTACGATCTTTGGTCCATTTTCTAATTGTTTTCCCACTGTTAAGTTCTAAGAGTTCTTGGTCTGTTTTGTCCTTTATCAGATGTATCTTTTGCAAATGCCTTCTCCAGTCTGGGGCTTAGCTTCTAATTCTCTTGATACTGTCTTTTAAAGAGAAGTTTTTAATTTTAATGTGGTCCAGCATATCAATTATATTTTCATGGACTGTGTCGTTGGTGTTATATCTAAAAAGGCATCATCATACCCAAGATCATATAGGTTTTCTCCTATATTCTAAGAATTTTACAGTTTTGCATTTTACATTTAGGTTTATGATATACTTTGAGTTAATTTTTCAGAAGAGTGTTAACTGCGTCTGGATTCATTCTTTTGCAAGTAGATGTCCAATTATTCCAGCAGCATTTGTTAAAACGCCATTATTTGCTCCACTGTCTTGCCTTTGCTCTGTCATCAAAGATAAGCTATGGTTACAGGGGGCTCTATACTAGGATCTCTATTCTGTTCCACTGACCTATTTGTCTATTCTTTCACCAAAACCACACTGTCTCAATTACAGTAGCTTCACAGTAAGTGCTGAAATTGGGCAGGATCAGTCCTCCGATTCTGTTCTTCTTCAATATTGTGTTGACTATTCTGGGGTCTTCTGCCTCTCCACAGAAACTTTAGAATCTGTTTGTTGATATCCATAAAATAACTTGCTGTAATTTGGACTAGGATTGCACTAAATCTGTACGTCAACCTGGAAAGAACCAGTATCGTGACAATACTGAGTCTTACTATCCACAAACATGGAATATCTCTCCATTTATTTTGGTTTTTGGTTCATTAATCAGAGTTTTGCAGTTTTCCTCACATAGATCTTCTATATATTTTGTCAGATTTATACCTAGGTATTTCACTTTCTGCGGTTCTGTCAGTGATACTGTGTTTTTAATCTCAAATTGCACTTGTTCACCACTGATATATAGGAAAGCAGCCGATGTTTGTATATGAACCTTGAATCCTGCAACAGTGCAATTATTGCTTCTTAGTTCTAGATTTTTTTCAGTTCTTTCAGATTTTCTACATATACCATGTCACCTGTGAACAATTTTATCTCTTCTTTCTTGATCTGTGTACCTTTTCTCTTTTCTTGCCCTACCACATTAGCAAAAGCTTCCAATAGGATGTTGAAAGGAAGTGATGAGATGGAATGTCCTTTCCTTATACCTAATCTTAGAAAGTGCTGAGTTTCTCACCATTAAGTACGATGTTACCTGTAGGTTTTTTATTTTTTGTAGATATTTTTCATCAAGTTGAGGAAGTTCTCATCTATTTCTAGCCTTTGTCATAAGTGGATATTAGATTTGTCAAATGTGATTTTTCTTTTTTCAGTCTACTGATGTAATAGATTAACCTAGTTTTCATTGTTTTTATGACAAGTATGCAATATTGCATTAAGAAAAGGGGCTCTGGGGGCGCATGGGTGGCGCAGTTGGTTAAGCGTCCGACTTCAGCCAGGTCACGATCTCGCGGTCCGTGAGTTCGAGCCCCGCATCAGGCTCTGGGCTGATGGCTCGGAGCCTGGAGCCTGTTTCCGATTCTGTGTCTCCCTCTCTCTCTGCCCCTCCCCCGTTCATGCTCTGTCTCTCTCTGTCCCAAAAATAAATAAACATTGAAAAAAAAATTAAAAAAAAAAAAAAAAGGAAAAGGGGCTCTGTAGTCTAGTTTCCACCTACCAGCTATGTAACTAGTAAATAACTATCCTAAGTTTTAACTTCCTCATTTGTAATATGGAGAAAGTATTTACATTAAAATCCTTGGGATTAAATGCTGTAACACACAAACAGTGGTTACCAGACAGTGTGCCTAGCCCACCGCAGCAGTGTTCACTATAATATTCCGAAGTGTCAACCAAGCACAGGGTCCATATATAACTGTTGACTAATGAATGAATGCTGATTATTATTAACAGTTGCCCAAGTTCTCAGAAAACACAGACTCCTATACTTTTCAAAAGTATACTTGACCTGTTTTCATGTATATAAATATTATTAGTTTACTTTTTAGATGTTTGCGGGAGTCATAATCCTTCCATACCAGTGGGGGTTCATAAGTAACTCTGGAGATAAGGGGTGACGAATCTTAGGTCTTCTGAAGTATAAAAGCCTGTAATTCTGATGTGTGGTGTGCAGAACACTCTCCTTCCTACAATGTATGTTCATTAATGAATTTTTTTTTTAACATTCTATTTGTGGTCTTGTTTCTCCCTCAAATGATTTCACACATGCTGCTAAAATACAGTAGGTTTAACAGCCTTCATAACAGAGTCAGTAGAATATAAAATTATTTGCAATTCTTGATATTTTTACCAAAATTACTGAAAATATGTTTATAAACATTATTTTTTAAAAAAGTTATGGGGTGCCTGGGTGGCTCAGTCGGTTGAGCGTCCAACTTGGGCCCAGGTCATGATCTCACAGTCTGTGAGTTCAGGCTCCGCGTTGGGCTCCATGCTGACAGCTCAGAGCCTGGAGCCGGCTCCAGATTCTGTGTCTCCCTCTCTCTCTGCCCCTCCCCCGCTCATGCTCGCTCACGCTCTGTCAAAAATAAACATTAAAAAAAAAATTTTTTTTTTAAAGTTATGTTGGCTTTTCCACTGAATATAAAGCTTACCACTACTATGCCCAAAATAAGTGATTCTATAGTACTAATAACGTTAATGTTTCCACATTAACTGATAGGACAATTTTATTTGCTATATCTTGACACTGATGCTTAACTTGGAAAAGATATAAAATCAAATGACTCAACAGAATCGTGATTGATGGCTGTTCCACAATACTGGCTATGGAAACAAACTAAATTAGAACTTAAATTCGGAATAACAATCTCTACTAAAAATACATATTTTTATAATTAATTCATCTAAGATGGATATCAATTGATTTTAGATTCCGTTAAAAAAAGAAATGAAGTGTTAAGATACGCATTGACGTGCTTTTTAAAATCTGACCACAGAAACTTTTTCCTGTATAATGACCATTTCATGAGAAATTAGTATCCCACAAAAACAATCAGAAAAATGCTAACATGGAAAGATACAACTTATATGTCAAAGAAAAAATAAGCGTAAACATATAGGATAAGTATAAAAGCACATTTAAATGACATTTTACAATCATTCCAGTATTTGAAATTTTTTTAATTTTATTATTAGATATTATGTTCATCATAATAGTACAATCCAAATACCATCCATCACTCCCAGGTGGAAGAGCTGCTGAAACTACCAGGAAGGCAAGCAGTAACTGGAGGCTGAGACTGACAAGAGTCCTGGACTCTGCCAGGTTTCAGGACTAAGAACTGCCCGAAGACTTTCTTTTCTGGAGAAGAAGGAACCACGACAGAAAGTCATGGGGCAAGGATGCCAACACCAAGTTCCTGAGAAAAACTAGATTTTCAGAAAGGAAGGAACTCACTCACATGACTATTCCTGGTGTCCTTGACAAACCTCAGGTTGAGAATGATCAAAGGAAAAAAATGAAACAAGACAGCACAATTATACATCACCAAACCATGCA